ACGTAGGAAAGAAGCAAAGCTAAATGAAGTGTTGGAGGGTCTAGGTCCTTCTTGGGGAAGGGTTGAGGGATGAGTTTCAGATGTGAGCTCATTCTAAAAGAGAGATTTGGGAAGATCTGCCCTAATTTGTAGCTTTGTAATCCCTGCACTGGGCCCACCTGTTTGACAAGTGAAAATATTGCATTAATGAAGTTCCAGCCAGCTTCTTAAATCCATCCTTGTGACTGTCTTTATTAATCTCTGTGTCCTGGTAGATTATGATTATTTTTATATATGTGAGTAATCTCATTGAAATCTAAGAGTTACTAATGGTAGCATGATAGATGAGTGTTGCTTGGGCCTTTAATCCATTACTGAAACTGAAAGCTGTTTATAGGTTTTCGTAATACTTAAGTTTTGCTTAGCATGGACAACTAAAAGCAAGTATCTTAACTTCTTTAACTGTCTTCCTTTTTTCTTTTTCTTTTTTTTTTTTTTAATCGTTCCACATGCCTGCAATAGTTTAAATTACAGAACACCAAATCAACATTTAATTTAATCAGCATTTCCTGTTTCTTTCAGATTTTGTACCCACCTTCTACTAAAAATAAATACATTCCTTATTTAGTTAATAGGGCCTAAATGTGGGATCCAAACTACATTTAAGACTAGCAGTTACTCTGCTGAAACACAACTCATCATTTAGTTTGAGGAATCAGTTATACTGGATAGAGACCCATATCCAGGGACACAACAGCAGCATGGTTTATATTTTGTAGAAAGTTATTTTGGATGTCTTTTTGAAATATCATACCTGGGATTTTCTCTTGCCTCTGGGGCAAAGGAGACAGGACCTGCATAGAAGCATATTGCTTCAATTTAAGTAGCAGAGGCTTTTCCTGCTACCAGAAATCAGAGCAAATATCACCCTGATTTTATTATGGGGAAGCAGATAAGCCATGCTGAATGTAGAAGACAAGAGCGATACTTTGGCTGATTAGGACCCCACAAGGGTGTTCTTGTGCTGATGCACTCTGATACAAAAAACAGATGTTTGTGAGTTCCTAAGTGGTTTCTTCATTTTGATATGGCTTTAAGGTTATCACAGTACCTCCTTAATTGGATTACTTTGGCACAAAGGTAATATTGGTTTATAGGGCTCAGGCTTTGTTCTTCAATGCTGTAATTTATACCTCTGAAAGGTAGCAATAAAACACTTCCATATGAGAAAGGCAGGATTTTACACCAGCTCCTGTGAAAATGAGTGCTCCAGGTTGCAATGTAGTAGAACACTGGAGCGCTCTGAATTTTCTAGGAGGATGAGGCAAGAAGGCACACACAGTCACTCGTGAAGAGTGGTACTGAAGGGATGAAGCCAGGGAGAGCTGGCACCAGATCAGCCCTGTGCGAGCAAAGAGATCTGCTTGTGTGTTTTTATCTTATGGAGTCATGCTTAAAATGGTGATTGCTGAACCTGTGGTACAGGGCTGGGGTCAGTTCAGTGAAAGCGGACCTGTGTATAAACCACGTTCATTAAGCGTGCTGCTCACTCTAAAGGAGAGGCAATACCTATTGTTTAAACACAATCACGTTCCATGAAGACTGGAAGAGAACCAGGCTCAAGCCATGCCTGGATGGGGCTTTGAGCAACCTGGTCCAGTGGAAAGGGTTGGAACTAGATGATTTATAAGGTCCCTTCCAACCTAAACCATTCTATAATTCCCTGGTATTGGGAAACTGAAAGTTAGCCAAAGCTTTGCAAATTTCTGGTTTAAAACAGGCAGCAGTTTTTTGCACAGGAGACTAACTTTCATTGGGTAAGTCGTGCCAAAAATTTTCTTTTGTGCTTTCTTTAGTTATTCAGGGTGGAAAAGTGGCTTGAATCTGTGCTGCCAGCTGTGTCCAGCCTGTGTATACTAACATTTAACATCCTGTGCTCTCAAATATGCAGGGCTAAATAAGGGCATGTCTTTAGTTTTGACTCAAAAGCATCTGGTTGACTGAAATTTTTGAAATGAGCAAATGTAGAAATGGTAACATCCTTTATATAAAGATATATATCTCAAAAGGTAGAATGAATCCTCAGTAACAAATAGTAGAAATCAAATTATTATTGGCCTTTACAATTATTGTTTTAAAGTGTTTGGAAACAGAATGATAGAGTTCTTGAGGGATGAAATATTGCCATTATTTAAGAGAAACTCAAATGCAGCCAGTACCAGTCTAATGGGGCGCTTTTTTTTTCCCCTTGTAATTCTCTTTTCCACTGAACACCTTAATCCTATTGTAGTAGTAGAAAAATACAACTCCTGTGGAGAGCATAATACAATCTCACACCATTGTGCTTTTGATCTTCAATAAAATGCACCCGCATTTGGCTTTTTCTCTTCACTACAGATTAGTTTCGGACCCAACTACTGTAATTCCTTTCTTGTGTTGAACTGCAAGGAACTTCATCATGATTGTAAAAGTTGGCATAAAGCAAGAAGTGAAGGGGGGGCTGGAGGGAATGAAAAAATTGGGTGGGAATTGTATCAACAGAAAAGAGATCTGAAAGTTGTGGGGAGGGGACACATTCCTCTATCAGCCTATCACAGAGAAGTCTGGCTGTAGGTCCTGAGGCTTGAGATTACCTGAGAGTGAGTGGAGCTCCACGGCCAATGTATTTCCTTACCTGTGCCAGCACTGGGGCTGCCAGCCATGAGACTGGAGGGTTGCATGAGCAGGCATGGACTGAGGACTTGTGACTTTGGTTATCACTGTGAGATCTTAGACAGAATTTGGTGACTGGAGCATTGCAGGGTAAAACTCTTGCCATTCAGCATGTGGTCATCTTTCTCAATGTCTGAATCTGATCCAGATGAGGCAAGCTTGAGTGGTTTGGGGTATTTTGGGGATACAACTGGGCCATGGGGCACTACACATCTGGCCTGCTTGGCTCACTACAGGTCCTGAAAGCCACACTGCCTCCCTGACACCCCAAGCTCATGCTGCATCAGAAATGCTGCTGCTGAGCTTGGTACTCCCATTCCTTTCCCAGTCTGGCTTCTTCTCCGGTAAGAGAAGTTTCGGGGCCAGCTGGGAGCACAGACGCTTGCACCTTTACATCACTGGCCATTCTCCTGCCAGGCAGCCGTGCCTTAGCTCTGCGCTGCTCCCATCCCACCCACAGGACGCCCGTGGGAGTTCCTGCCACAGAGGTAGGGAGGAAGCCAAGAAAGAAACACTCCTCCACCTCTTTTTTTTTTTTTTTTTTTTTTTGGTGGTGTTTGTCCTTTTTCCCATCAGGGTTACCACCCTCTCTCCCCACTCCTACGGAGAGGGCTGAAGTCTCACTGACTCAGCAATTGTGACTATTATCTGTGCTCTTAATGGTTTGCATCTTTTTGCATCAAAGGGTAAAATTACTTAGGGACGCACACACACTGAAAAGATCATATACAAAAATGCATCCAAGCAGAAAAAAAAAAACCGGTTGTAATGCTCATGAATTCCAGATGACGACTTTTTAAATCCCCGAGAAGGCAGAGAAATTGTTTGATTGTTCTTGTTAATTATAGGACTTGTCCCAGTATCAAATATTTGTAGAAGATAAGACTTCCCTCGTGGAGATGAATAATAACCGAACTTGCTCTTCTTTGAGCCGTTTGGCTTCGTGCTGCGTTTCCCACTCCCAGGCGCACACCCCGCCTAAGCCGGCTGCACCGCTCCACAGCAGCACGTGTACGAACCTCTCCATTAAAAAAAGACCCCCGTAAGTAAACAAGAGAGAGAAACCTCTTACTTGCAGAGCGTGACTTTATTAGCAGCAGCACCGGCGGGCTCCCCCTTGCCTGTCCCCAGGCTGCGGCGGCCGGTTTCACCGCTTCTTCCCCCCGCGCCCGGGAACCGCGGTGCTTGCTCCCGGTCAGCTGTATGAAGTACAGGCAGCGCAAAGGGTTGCCGAGAGAACACAATCCACCTTCCTCCAACCCCAAACCCACGGACGTACCCCAGCCCGTACGCGGAGCCCCGTGACCCACCAGCCAGGTCCCCGCGGGGCCAGCCCGGGACACGACTGCGCTCAGCCGAGCGAGGAGCGGCGGGGGGGTGCTGGCGGAGATGATGATGATGAGGTAACCGGGGGGTCCGGGGCAAAGACGGGCTGCGGGGCCAGGCGCAACGCTTGCTCCCCGCCTGCCTGGGGGAGCGGTGACACGGCGGGTGCTGCCCGGCCCGTCCGTCCCAGGACCCCGTCTCAGGCCGCCCGCGCTGAGGTAACCCTGCTGGCGGGACGGCACCGGCGGCGGCAAAGCGGCTTTTTGGGGCGGTGCCTGGTCATCGGCCCCGGGGAGAGCTCGCGGGAGACCCCAAACTTCTGCTTCCCCGTCGTGCGCCCGGCAGGGGGTCACCGAAATGAGGAGAGGGGTGGCTGAAGGGTGCGGCGGGCGGCTGTGTGTGTGCGCGCTCGCACCGGTGTGATAGGGGCTGACGGTGCGGGAGGTGCTAACGGGCACGCACACGGACACGCAACTCTCGGATGTTTACTCCTAGCGGAGAGCGGGACGGGGACTGCCTGCCTCTCGGGAGGAAAACGGTAGCGGCGTCCCTGGGACCCACGGCAGCCCCGCTCGGTGAAGAAGTTGCCGGGCGGAACAAGAGGCGGAAAGGGCTCGGTGCCCGCCGCTGCTTTCCCGTGCAACCGGGGGACAGCAGCCCCCTTTTCTCCCCACCCGAGGGACGGTGAGGATGATGATGGTGGCGGCGATGGCTGTTGGGGCGGGCGCGTCACTTACCGTGATCAGCCCCGCCGCAGCCGCAGGGCCGCCCTGGTGCGCGGCCGGCGGGCAGGAGCTTGGGACTGCTCTTGAGGAGACTCCCCGCGCAGACCCCTCCCCGCGGCCGCCACCTCGTCTTCTTCCTCTGCCTCCTGCTCCTGCTTCTGCCGGGGTGCCGGCGGCGGCCAGGCGCAGCGAGCCTCTCCTCCCCCATTGTTCCTGGTCTCCCTCTCCCTCTCGTGTTTTTTTTTTTTCCTTTTGTTATTTGCACTCGCATTGTGTTGTTTGTCTCTGAAGCCGCCTCATGACCACTAAAGGGATTTCACCTCGTCCTTGAGAGACAGAGAGAAGGGGGAAGGGGGGGAAGGAGGGGAGAAGAGAAAGGAAGAGATCACCAAACACCCATCTCCCGGTCCCTCCCCGCACCTCTGCCTCTCCCCACCCCACCAGTGTCTCACTTAGCACCCCGCGCCCGGAGGAGACATTGCAGTTAGCGGGTAGGTGCCTGTCGGCCGCCGGTCTAACTTTCGCCGGCGGGCGCTCAGCGCCCCGCGGGGCTCCCCGGGCGGCGGGGGGACGGCGGGCGGGCGGGCGGACGGGCGGGCGAGACCCGGCGAGGGGCAGCGCGGAGGGGCGGGCTCCGGTGGCGGGGCCGGCTGTCAGCGCGGCCGGCTTCCTCCCGGGCGCTCGTACACCTCCCGAAGTTTGGCACAACTTGTCACGCCCCCCCCCTTCCTCCTCCTCCTCCTCCTCCTCCTGCTGCCGCCGGCGGGGCTGGGGGCGGGCCGGCCGCGGTGCCCACGCCCGTGTGGTGTGGCGGGGAGTCGCTGCTCCGCGCCCTGCCCAGGCATGGCTCAGCCCTCGGGATCCCGGCGGACAGGAAGCTTTAAATTATTGTAATTGCCTCTCCGTGCGTGCGTGCGTGAGTGCCGAGCGGCGGCTGCCGTCCGCGCCGCTCTAGGGGAGGCGAGCCGCGGGGCGCGGGGGGCACCGGTGGGCACCGGGGAACGGGGGGCACCGGGAGGGGCTGTTCACATGTTTCTACGAGGCGTGTGCCTCGCTTCTGCCGGAGTCCGAGGGTGACTCAGTGGTAGGGCGCTGCAGGCTCGGTTCACCCGTTTCGTCTGCTTTCCCCTCAAAGAGAAGACGGGTCGGGGAAAAATGATGTACCGGTCAGGCTGGGGAGCGCGGCCGCGCTCGTCCCCGCCGGCGCCCGGTCGAGCTGGCCAAGGCACCGGTGATGGGAGGGATCTGTGCCTTCTCAGAAAAGTTAAGGGACTTTATTCCAGCCCTCCTGAGATCCTAGAATAACCGGAGCCCCTTGCCGGGAGGAACGTGATCGGCTTTTCCCTAGGGATGGCATGCTGCCTCAGCCCTGTACTTTGGTCAAGGGTAGAACCAATAGCAGGCTGTGGGATTTTGGGTAATAAGTGTGGGAATCTGCAAGAAGAGTAGGTCTAAGAGTGATTTGTTTTCTTGCTGCTCATGAATAATGGCCTCTAGCTTTATTTATTTATTAATTTTTTAAACCAGCAGGCCAATGAAATAGGCACGTGGGAGATTTGTAGGCGTTCAACATCGCGATCATCAGCAACCGCAACAATACAGTAGGGGCGTCCAGGAGGAGGGTGTCTGAGCACAACTATTTTCTTTGAGACGCTAGTCTCGCACGCTGGTGCAGGTAGCTTTTATCGTTAATGCTACCGCTTAACTCTCGTAAGGGGAAAACCAACGCCATCCTAAAATTAGAGAAGTTTTTCTTATTCTTTTTTTCATCTTTTTTTTTTTTTAATAGAGCTTCACATTGGTCCGTCTCTGTCAAATAATAGAATATTAACATTAGTTCAAATTAAACAAGAAGGTTGAATTCCAGCTGTAGTACTGCAGGATAATGTGTCCTGGCTTTTCTCTTCCCAATTTAAATACAGCTAGCTGTCTGCAGCCTTGCTGAAGTGAGCCACTCAGATTAAAAAGCAGCTTCATATACATGAGGAGCTAGTACAAAGTTCTTCATCGAAATATTTTAGCACCTGAAACTTACCTGAGAGCAGCTACTTGTGTCTGCTGCTGTTTTTATATCCTCTTAATCCTTCCCAGCACTGGAAGATACATTATTGCCTCAGAAACAAATTCTTCATCCTGCAAAATGCACTATTTACAACTATTAAACTGGGGTTGCAAGGGGAGATTTTTATTTCATTTTATTTTTAATTTAGCTGTATTATCTTGCTAGGTTACAGCCAGCTTTAGTTTACAAGGTTTCTCCAGTTGAAGAGGGAGAGGCTGGCATGGATCTGCTGCATTTTGCAACTGGATAGCATGTCTGTTCTGACATGATTGAAACACGAAAACCCAATGAGCACATAGCCATTATGCCTGGAAATGCGGCAGCAGAGCTTTCTGGTTGAACCTAAACTGTTTCAGTTGAGTTACACTGTAAGGAGTACAAGACTTGAAAGCTGCAAGTGTCTTATGTAAACAGATGGACATTTGAGATGTATTGACTGTTTTGAGTTAATTCAGTTAACATGTGGGTGCACATGTAGTTAATTTAGTATAAGTTTTTGTAAGCGATGGCAGCTAATACACGCTTTTCAGAGAGAAAATAAAAGCCTGTGAATTTTGTCTATATGTGCTGGAGCTCCAGCTGTAGAAGTGCTTAGGGACTATGATCGTCCTGATCTTGTAGTACCAGGTGAGACTTAACAGAGAGCTTACAGTTTTTTACTTCAGAATGCAAGGTAGCTTGCTAATGAATTTTTAAATGATAAGGTACCCTTCTGAGGTCTCTTTGCTGAGAAAATACAAACATGCTTAAACATACATCTTGCTGCACTTTTATTGTATGTGCTGCTTGCCAAAACCAGTTAGGTTGAGCAGTATCATTAAACTGTCAGATGTATTGTTTACAATGGGATAATTCTTCCATGTTCAGGGTGAAGAAACAGCAGTTTTCTGTTACTCATCATAAAAATGTACCATTGCGTTCCAAGAAGGTTTGCAAGTGGCGTAGCTAACTATCGCTGCATAAAGCATGGGAGGAGATTGAGACTTCTTGGCATCTCTGACAGTGCTGGTGTAATGCAACGTGTGTACAGGAGCTTTGTTTCTGCCTGCAGTTCATACTTACCCTGATATAAAACACTCTGATGTTGGCATATGGATACACCAAAAAACAGAGTGTTTGTTGAAAAATAAGAATTCGGCATTTAGGAGAAAGTAAATGAACAGTCCTTCTAAAAATACAACAGTATGCTAAAATATTGCCAAAGCGCTGCTCTGACGCTGTTGTAAGCTGTCATATTTTTTTGACCATTATAAATAGATTAGTATTATTATAAGGATTTTTTTCCTATTAGCAAAGAAGGTTTTTTTCCTGTTTTCTACATCAGAATCCTTGCGTGTTCCCTGAACAGGCAGAGCTGTGCTTGCACTGGAGGCAGCAGGAGTGTTGCTGAGGAGGAAGTGGGCAGCTGGGCCTTACGCCTTGAGAATGGCTCTTGGAAAGCCTAAAAGCCTCCTGTACTGTAAACCTGGAGGTTTTTTATAATGTTTTACTTAATTTTTTCCATTTCTTCAAGCGTTAGAGTTGGTCCAGTTAATCACTTCTGATGTATTATGTAGTTAGGATCAGATCAAATTTGGTTTAGACAGTGAATTGAAGCCTGAAACAAGATCGAGCTCCTCTTTGGTGGCACTGAAGTGTTGAGGGCTTGTGGGAGTCTTCCTCCTATTTCATGGGTTGCTCAGACCCAATTAGGAGAATTCCTTTCAAACTTACAACCAAACTGGGAATTTCAAGCCATTTCTGTTTCTCTTTGTGAAATTTAGTAACAGATAAGAGCATTCAGGTCAAGATCAAAGCATTAGATTTGCATCCTACTGCTAGTCATGTTGCAGTAACACCTTTGGGCATTGTGTGGAGAGTGTAGGCTACAGGTAAAGTGGATTTCCCATGCCTTGTGTACAGCCTGTTAAAGTAGCTGAAGTCCAAGTGCTGCTTGCTCCACTGATGGACATCCTAGATAAGTGTAAGATGATTATTCTTGCAGTATGTTTCCTCATGTTTCTGGTCTCTTCAAGCACGTGGTGAACACACAGGCACAGGCACTTGCACAGTACATTCTGCATACATGAAGCGCATTGTCTGAACAAGTGTTTATGTTGCTTACAGAGCACACATGCTTTCTAGGTGCACACGTTTCTAGGTGAGGAGAATATACGCTTCATGACAGCTTGAGGAGGGTCTCCTCTAATATTTCTAACATCTTTATTTTCTGTCTTCTCCGGCTTCTCCCTTTTGCTTTGAGCTGCAAGTGTAGATTGAAACTCAGGTAATACATAAGAGGATTCTTTAATCTTGGCTATTTTCAGAGGCACAAAGGACAATTACTTTCTCCTCCTACTAACCTCCTGCTGGCTTACTAGCTGCTTGGGAGGCTAGTGATTTTAAGAATGCTGCTTTACCCAGTGCATCAAATACAGAGCAAATCTTTGCTCACCAAGATCTCAGTTCCTACACCTCATGGTAACACCAAAAATTGAACTTGAGTGGCCCAGAGTGCCAGCTCCTACTGTGAAGACTCATACAAGCATCAGCACTTTTTAGAGTTAAATTTGATCCATTGGCCCTGAGCAGTGCTGACAATTGCCAGCTAAAAGACTCTTCAGTGAATTGTCCTTTAACAGAAGTCTTTATTTTATTTTTTTCTTTCCCCCATTTCCTGTTGTTCTTTTAAATAAAAAGAAATCCTGGTGACAAAGCTAAAGTGTATTCTGTGATTATTGTTTAAAGAAAAAGATTTACCTATCTCTCAATGAAATGAATTGCCTGAAAATTGCAGGTCAGAGTTATTTTATAAGGGCAGTATTCTTCACTGCTGCAATAATCTCAAAAAAAAAAATTCGCTAAGTAACACATTTATGTACAAGTATTTGATCCTTTGAATGGTCGTAGTTAAAATACATGGGAGAGTCTGCACTGTATTAACACTGTACTAGTGTGATAAAGGACACTGAACACTTAAACCTGTCTTTTTTGTTTGTGAGCATGTCCTGAGAGAAACTGAGCAGGCTCAACTGGCCGCTGCAGTTTGATGACAATTTGTACCGTCTGCAAGGAATGTCGTTTTACAGAACATCTTTTACAGAACATCATCCAAATAAAACCATACCCCATAGAGGAGTGATTTCCACTGTAGTCTCCTGGTCCCTGGCAGGGTGGTCCAGGTTTTACTTGAAATGAATGTAAAAGTCTTGGGAAAGCTGACAAAGTCTTGTTCAGTAGGGTTAGATTTGCTACATAAGGTTTGCATACATAGCATTTGCCTTTGCTAGTCAAAGCCTAGGGGGATGTTTACGGTACCCTGGAGTATTAGTAAAATTGTATTTAAGGTCCTGCTCTTAGTGGCAGTGATGTTAATGTATTTAATTTAAAACCAGATTTTCAGCACTGGCTTTTGGCTTAGGCAGGGTAAAAAGCAGGCTAGGACAGCAAAGAACTCATGGGATAGGATGAAGCTGCCTGCTTACAGCTGGGCAATAAGGGCTCCTGCTCCAAGAAGTTGCTTTGCCCATGCTTTTGAGGAGAGGTGACAAAACTGTGTTAAGCTTGCTCTGCTCAGAAGCATTGAGCTGACTCTGAAACAGGTGTAAATATGGCTTGCAGTATCTTCAGTTACTATAGGGGGTAAGTGAATACAACAGGTTTAAATTTGATTCAAGCGCCATACTGTGTTTTGTAGCAGGCAGTCTAAAGACACATTTAATTAAACTGGTTCAATTCCTAAACTAGGATTATGGAGTCTACCTTTTACACTGCTATACAATCCTTGTTGTATCAGTAAGCTTTCAGTGTAATGAAAAGGGCTGGGGGACACAGCTGCAATCCTCAGCTAACCAATTAACTGTTGAATAAGGATCTCAAAGTTAATTTTACAGTCAATTTTTTAAAAAAGAAAGCAAAATACCTGTTATATGGCTAAGTCAGTTTCTCTGCTCAGCGAATTGAAGAGTTGCTTTTCTTAGGTGGGAACACCATTTCAATGTCACAACCGACCTTCTAGTAGGAGACTAGCCCTAATGAACCGGGTTTATATTGAGAAAAGTTATGAAACCATTAGAGAAGAGAAGTAGAAAATTAATAGTTTTTGAGTGATTTCAGAGCAGACTGAATTGAAGGTAGATACTGACTTCTGCATGAAAGAATTGTTTACAAACACAAAGAAAATACTTATTCTGTAACTTATTCATCCCGAAAATCACATGCTGGTGGAGTCTCTCCTTCTCCACTGACTCTGGAAGGAGCCTGGGGATACTGGGGCTCCCAGGGAAAGGCAGCTGCTGTGGCTCTTTGTGTGCTGTCCTTACATGCGCATCCGGTAACATGTATCTGTGTTACCACTGAAATGAGATTGTTCCTTATGCTGTAGTATTAAAGATCATGCTTCTCATGCTAGAATATAGGCAAATGCATAAATAATAACAAGAAATGTAATATATGTGTCAATTACACTTCTGTTTAATAATAAATTGAATGCATCTCCTAGGAGGGGTATGCAAAATATATAAGAAGTATAATCAGTCACAGAAAAGTGAATGTGTTAACGCAATATACTGCTTTACGAATTCAAATCTGGAAGAAGAGTGTGTTTAGTAGGAGACACTGTGCTCTGTGCTGTGCTTCAGATTGATTTGTAATTGTATGCAGGTGGCCACCAGAAGCAGGACAGTGTGATTCTGAGAAAACTAAGTGATCTGTTCTGATTCCTGGGAATGCAAGTTTGTTTAGTGGCACCATGGTGCATTAAGTGCGTTGTGGTTGAGATTAACAAATGTAGGACAGTTAATTAGCTCAAGCTTGCAAGTCATGCGTAGATTACTTGGTCAGTACATGCACAAATAGGGTGAGCTTTTTAGTTCTCGCTGAAACTTGTTGCTGAGATCGGTTTTGTGCCTCCTGCCAATAGAAAAGAGAGCTGGAACAGAAATGCTGAAGTACTTGTCAGTTCTGTAAAACAGTTTCCAATTGAAAACTGAAATTATATATAATGAGGCATTCCTATCAACAGGGTTGCCCTAGGTAAGTAGCTTTCTGCATGGGATGATGAAAGTTTTGCCACTGTTGAAGAATAATATTAATTCTTATGAGATATTACAAATGAGTAAAAGCTGATGAATAGGTGCAAATGCGTATGCAAGATTTTAGTACTTCTGAAAGGCAATTGACAGTTCTGGAAATTGAAGGCCTCTCTTTGCCATGAAAGTTCTGTAGAGGAAAGCATCACTGTAAAAATATGTGTAGTGCATCCCCAGTGTGACCTGGGGGGTATTCTGCAGGTAGCACCTCTGGGGTGAAGAGGGAGCCTGCTCAGTAAAACACTTGTGGATGTGATTCTCCAAGCACGTATGTGCTAGATTACTAACACATTTAAAATGTGTGCTTGGGATCTTTACATGGATGGTTACCTCCTCCCCCCCGTCATAAAATGCCATTAGACCAATATTGTGCTTTATGTAAGACATTATCTTTGAATGATCGCGTTATCTGTGTTTTTATGGGGAGTAACAGGGGGGAGGAAAGCAAGACCGGAGTCTTGCACCTTCTACTATGTGTCCTGCTGTTCTTTTAATAACTCATGCATTGTGTTGGTACAGAAAGCGGCTCCTAGTGAGAAGTAACAAGTTGAAATGGGGTAGAAAATAGAGAAGCCAGGAGATTCTAATGCTTAAAGGCACACTGAAGGTAAGGGTGTGGGTACAGCAGCATGAATAGCAGCAGCAGTTATATACCCAAGCACCTCTGCATCGCACACAAATGTAGCATGAAGAAGTAGCAGTAAGAAGCTACTTGGAAGAAAAATGCAGTTGTTCAATAGGGTAAAGTTTTAAGAATGCAAGATTTTTCTTCTTGCTTTGATTAGTTTTAAATTCCGTGGTTTTATGTTTGAGGAAAAGGAAAATATTTACTTGTATAATTATAAAGATTTTTATGATTTTTTTTTTCTCAACACTGTAAGTTTTGCTTCTTTGGAGCCTAAAGTACTTTGAAATTTTTCTGCCTTCATTGTCCAGTTGCAAATAACTCAGAATATGGCATGTGAGTTGTGGAGGTGTGGTTTATGGCCTGAGTAAAAACAGTATTTGAGTATAGGCATAATTTCAGGAATGTGGCTTACTTAGTTTAAATTCAGCAAAAATGTATTTGCACAAGTGCAGCACTCAGTTAGAAAGGTGAGATTTCAATGCAGCCAAAGTCCCATTTTTGAAGGTAGTGCAGATAGTGCCCTGTTGACCTGCAGGGTGATTCAGGTGTCTAAGTCACTGTAATTAAAGGGAAAAATAGAAAAAACCTGTTTTTCTAAGTTATTGCATTGTTAAACATTGTCTGTTTTGAAGGCCTGCAGGGACTGTGATGACTGTAAGAGGTGTCTTCCAGAAGCTCCAGAGACTGCAGGGTTTATGTGGATTCCTGTTTAAAGAATGGTAGTGAGGGCATTTTAAGTGGTTAACAGTAGCAGAAATTGGCTTCTCAAAGTCCTTGTATAGTTTTTCTTTTCTTTCTTAGCAGCAGGGATGTTGGTCAGGTTGGACCTCAGGAGGCCACCTCCATGCGCAGGGTTGGTCCTAGTAGCAGATCAGGTCAGCCATAGTGTTTTTCCAGTTGAGGCTTGAAAACCTTCATAAATGGAGGTACCAAAACCTATCTGTGCATCTTTTGGTTTCTTTTAGTGTGTTGTCTTTCTCTGATTATATTTCAGTTTGTGTTATGTTGCTGGTAAGTATATCTGTGTTCATTTTATGGTGCTTTCTGGTCTTTTTTCCCTGACTTGATGTAGTAGATCGATCATATGAATATATATAGGATCTTTGTTTATAGTTTACGCGAAAAGGATGGCTTTAACCTAGTGGAGCTGATCCTTCATGACTCCCTTTGTTAACAGGGAGAGGCTAGCTCCTGAAGAAAGTATTGCAGAGAAAGAACTTCTGCCTTACTATTGACTGTAACAGAGACAACTTATCTCACATGGCTAAAGTTGCCCATGTGAGGGCAGAGCTTAAGACACAGGAGGTAAGCATTATGGGCCTGGTTTTGTACCTACTGCCATCAGGGCAGACCGCTGTTTGGTGTAGTCTGTTGATGCTAAAACCCTGAGGTGGTGACCCTTTGGAAGCTATAGCTGAAATGTGCATCCAGATGGGATTACCAAAGTTGCAGAGAGAAATTCAGCCGTCAGTATTCACTGGTGTTTGATGGGCTTGGGAACAGTTGTTTCCAAACTCAGCTGTTACCCCCCCCCCCCCCCGAGAAACCCTTTCAAAATATCTGACTGAAACACTGAGAGTTTTGCTATTAGTTTCCTTTATTTAGTGGGACAACATTTTGCTCTTTTTTTGCTATTCAGAAAATGTGGATTCTTTTCAGTGTCTTAATAGGTTTTGGTTCAGCCCCTTGTACAGTTTCCCATGTAGAGCTTTTGTTTGTTTGTTACAGCTTCAGCTTTGGAGAGCAATGAGTGGCGTGTTTCTGCGGAGCTGTGGACTTCTTTTATTGACTCGAACACACAGTTTAAAGAAAATGGGGATGGGTGTGTGTGGGCAAATGAAAGTATATTGTTTTTTATAAAGTGTCACCTGCAACATGCTTTTAAATAAACCCCTATATAACCATGTATGGCTTTTTTTTTTTTTTTGTTTTACTTGAAAGACACTATCTCCTTCTTCTAAACATTTGCACAGCAAAGCAATGCATTATTGCATTTTCATAAATAATTGAAAAGCAACTTAAAAGAAAGTAGGCCAACAGAAGAAAAAAAAAAGTAAGTGTTGGTTTCAAATTTGAGAGAAGAAAAATATGTTTCCTTCTTGATAGGAAGTCTGTTAAATGTTATTAAATCCCATTCTCCCACCCCTACATGACCAAAGACAAATCTGACAATTGACAGTTTCATTTCAAAGAAAGAGAAACGGGGGAAAATGTTTTGCAACACTGAGTCTGGTTTGCTTTGTTTCTTCTTTGTTTTAAATTCCCCCCCCCCCCCCCTTTGTAGGAAAGGAATTGTGACCCCTTATCAGTTTGCAAGTGACTGAGGATCAAGTCTCTGGAGGTCTGTGTGTTGGCTTTTCAGCACTGTTCTCCATGCTGGGCTGTAATAATGCAAGCTATTTTAGAACTGTGCATACGTTAGTGTTCTGGCGCAGCATGATACAATAATGTGTGAAAAAGCATAAGATCACACCTTGGTGAAACTTGCAGATTTCCTGCATAATCCGACAGTGAGCTCTTGTCAGGTTTTGACTATATGTAAAGTGAGAATAAAGTTTCCAGAAGCAAAGCGCAAGCCTTGGATGCATTTTGAATGGCTGTGGAGGGATTTTGGCCTTGACGTGGGTACGAATGCGCCTGACTCTAAGCACTTTAGTCCCACTCTAGCCAGTGGGCCTCCTTCAGCACTTAAAATTTGGCAAATGCTTTAAGCCCTTTGCCTAATTGAAGCTCTACTTTTGCAAGTTTTGAGAAAGATGAAAGAACCACTGTAAATAATTCCTTGAAAGACAGTCATTAATATAAACAATTTTCATGCAGCATACGGTGCAGTGTATCTGGTGACCGCAGCAGGTGTCACGTGTGGGAATGGTTTGTGGCCATGGGCGTCTTCACCAGGGTGCTGGTACATTGGTACTGAGCTGGTGTGGCTGAGGGAAGAAGGGCAAGGCGAAAGCGAAAATGTGTTGTTGTAGATGTTCTGACAAGATGAGGACCAGGGCTTTTATTCCAGCATGGGCTCTGCATGGGCTCTGGCTATCTATTAGTGCTATACCAGAAGTTACAGGTGCACTGTAGGAATTGCTGTGTGAGGTTCTTGTGTCCTAACAAGGCAGGTCCTAATAGTTCTTCCTGGCCTGGAGATGAAGAGGTCAGTGACTGCCAGTATTAATGTGTTGCTTAATGTGCTTTAAGATTAGACCTACTGAAAAAATAGACCCCAGTGAGGGGAAGCTTCACATAACTGATCTGTTCCCTGGAGGAAAAAATGTCAGCATGTGCATTCTCTTCTTCTTTCCTCCCAGATTTACTCCATCTCCTTTCATTTTTTATAACCAGCACGGCTGTATTTTAAGTTGCTGCCCACCATTTCCAAAATGTGTGATACATTTGTTAAGGATTTGGAATTTGGGATACTTTGATGTAACTTCATGTAGGCTTTATAGAAAAACCTGACGTGTATGTTTAGTTTCTAAACACCTTCTGTGCTTGATTTATCCTCACAGGTTGTCAAGGTAGTCAGATGACCTGAAACTGAGGAAGTGAGAGGGAGCTCAGCTGGCAAAAGTCTGACATTGAGTCTGACTGCGGCTCAGATTTGTTTTGCAGAGTTGAGCCCAGGCTGCGTAGGCAGTGAAGAAAGCCTTCTTCACCTTCACCATTGTATCCAAAAAACTCTGAGCAGCATCATTTTTTGCAGGTGATGAATAACCTAGTTAGCTCACATTGTTTCAATCCGGTGACAGTTCTCCCAGTTTGAGAAGGCGTGGTGGTAATTTGTAATAGCATATTGATATTCAGGCTCAAAGGTAGAGGTGCTTTGTTGGTTCTTTGGTTGGTTTTCTCAGCCAGAGAAACCACACTGTCAGCCATCTGTCATGGACCACCATGCACTAGTTACCTCTTTACATTAGATGTTACTGTTTAATATGGCTCAGCAGGTTGGCTTCCAGTGAAGCAGACTCACAACTTTTAACCTAGCTGGATATTTTCAAGGTCCCATGGCAATTCTGAGCGCAAGTACTGATAGGACAATGGGGAATGACTTTAAACTGAAAGAGATTTAGATTTAAATTAGATATAAGAAAGAACTTTACTGTGATGGTGGTGAGGCACTGGAATAGGTTGCCCAGAGAAGCTGTGTCTGCCCCATCCCTGGAAGTGTTCAAGGCCAGGCTGGATGGGGCTTGGAGCAACCTGGTCTTGTGGAAGATGTCCCTGGCCGTGGCAGGGGGTTTGTAACTAGATGATCTTTAAGGTCCCTTCCAACCCAAACCATGATTGTAGGAATTATAATCACCAGAGGCATGCAGATCTTGAAATGAAATATGTGGAGGGTGCTCATAAAGCGTTGTCATTTTCTGTTGTCACAGAATTTTCTTTCCCTTTGGTTGTCCTGAGCAGTGTCTCTTAGGGCCTGTCTGTCCTGGGACATTTCCTGTATAAGTTGAAGGAGGGCTTTCTGGGCAGAAGACAGAGTCATTTTGTTGACACAGAAAAGTGTGCGTCATTGTTTGTGTTATTACTGTTTTACATTTTTTGTATTTGTAAGAACAGCATATTGATGACTGCGTGTTAAAACTCTGTCTTTTAGTGGCCTCGTTTTCTTTCTGAAAAAGGAAGAAAGCTACATTCTTTCTAAGAAAAACACAATTATGTTGGAACAAGTACTAGTGCTGTGTTCATACATGATCAAATTCAGGAAGATTAGGGCACTGTGTATAAATTGCCTTCGTGTTCGTTAGGTTAGCAGCTGTCAAATAAGTGATTACAGACATTGGCATAGCTTTTCTTTCCATAATCACTGTGAAACAGGGATGGAAATGTAACAGATGCCATTTAATATGGACCAGCACCTAGGTTCTGTTGCTGGGTCTGGCTCTTTTGCCTCGTGGCCAGAGTTTCTTAGCATCTTTTTTGATTTAATTCCTGACTAGTTATAAATGGAGATAATAGTATTCCCTCACTTTACAGGAGATTTCTAAGGCTGTTTGTTAAATCATTTGAGATCCTTTGATGAAAGATACTAAGTACATGCAAAAGCAGTAATGATAAGATTAAATAGAATAATTCTATTGAGACTGAGGAAAATTATTGCTCCTAGATGAGTTTTGCTTTGCTGGATAGTGTCAACTTTCTGCAGGAAATAATTTGGTCTGAGACTGTGTTGGGTTTCATTTCCTGGGATTTTTTTGTTAACTGGCAAGGCTTTTTGATACCAGGCACTCTGCTTGAAGTTCTGTTGAAGAGCAAATGAAGTGTTGTGATGCCATTTTTTGCAGCATAGGAGTCTATGGTGACTCATTTGGTGTTTGTAATGCCTGTGATAGATTAAAAAAAACAAATCAGTTACTCCCAATGAGACGGATACACTCCGCCAGACCCTATTTGAGAATTATTTGCTGCACTGTTAAGACCAAAGTACACATCTTCCCCCTCCCCCCCCGCCAAGAATCCAGCTTATCATGAAATGTTTATCAGAGCCATATAAACATTTCTTGACTGCTGAATTTTGAAGGGAAATTCCTTTGGTCTAGCATATGTATTGCAAGCAAAACTCTTTACAGATTTAAAGAAAAAAATAATTAGCTTGGTTACAGCCCTACTGATTACCAAGCATGCCAGCATCTGGCAAGGGTATGGCGCTCTGGGAATTCACTGCTTGAAGCCATGGAACAAAGTGTTCTGGTCCAACCCCAGGCAGTGAGTCCAGGACTTGAACTGGAATCTTCAGGAGCAGAGAAGTCTTAAGTGTCTGGAAAATTGGCCTGTTGAGTCACCACACAGGCACTAAAACAAAACTAATTTTAAGCAGGTCAGAGTTCAGTGATTCCCTCTGGAATCTATTTTTTTTTTTCCCTTAAAAAAAAAATAAAAAGAGGTCTCATATTTTAAGTGAAAAGGGTCAAAGTTGATGCACTGCTACGATTTTTGAATGCTTTCCCTTAAGAACAGCCACCCAGGCTAGGATTAGCATGAAGGGCTGCTAGGCTGGCACTTCAGTGTCTGGGTTAAAAATATTTTAAAGCAGTAAATGCAGTGAGAACAGAGAGAGAGAGATCCCTGGGAGCCTTCCTATTCAAAAAATGTGCGAGCTCAGGGCAGCAACTGCAATGTAATTTAGGGCAGTATATGCTTCATAGCTTTGGAGAATATTGCCTCTTGTTAATGTTACATTGGAGGACAGTGGGATAGTAGTAATTTTAGAAAGGTGGTATTCCTGTTTGTTTTATGTTGGAAACTTCAGAATAAATAAAAAGAAGCATCAATTGAGGAAGAAATGTAACCGCTGGAACTCAGCAATGAATCCACTTCCGAGCAGACTATAGAAATGACAGGGGAAAGTGGGTATAGAAACACTTTCATGGGAATGCAGCTGCCAAAGGAACTTAGCAGACAAAGGCAAAATCAGGTATGTACTTTAAAAAGCATGTGGGCAAACTTTTGTCTGAGAGCCCAGTGAGGAGCCTACTCACATTAAATTTACAGAATGTTTGGGGGGATCAGATGACAAAAGGCTTGTATTGCTTTTCCATTGCTGAAGAAGTGGGACTGTCTGTGAGCAGGGATGATTCAAATAGCTGTTAAAAAAAAAACAACAATGCTTGCAAGAGTGAAGGAGTTTTTTCATTCCCATTCCTTTATTTAAGATTATTTCCTTCTTTTTCCCTTTGGATCTTGCAGAGTTCCCTTTACATTTGCAAGTGAAAAGGACAGGGTCTAGGCTACCCGGGGAATCTTGAATCTGAACTCTGTCAGGCATTGTGAGCTTGGTGATCTCTGTTTATCTCTTAGGAAATAGTCATGCTTGCACAATAGGGCAAATGCAATGTGCAGATGTCAGAACTGCTGAAACAAAGAGGGCTGTCTAGGAAAAACAATGCCAAACCTAATGGCTAGACTGGAGA